GCAATCTACACCTGAAGGCTCTCTCTCTCTCTCTCTTATTAGTGGATTATAACAAGCATAGTAAGGAGTTTTTAAATCTGCAATGAAATTTTGAGAAAAAAAATTCGTTTCCATGGATAGGGCGGCAATATTGGATTTTGTTGACATGTCTTACGTAATGGATACCGCACTTATTTTTCGAGGAAATCGATTGGGGTTTTTTTTGCATGCATGTTAGCAAACATTATATCTAAAAATTGATCGGTTGTTTTTTTACCGAAGCGTATTAGAAAATTTTCAATGAATTTTTTCCTGAAGTAGCATTCAAGTTTGCGAAAATTCCGTAAAAATCCACACTCCGGACACCACCAACAAAAATCTATTCCTTATATCAAAAATTCAACTAACAGATTTTTAGTATTACATCTTGTCTTCATTCTATGAAAGCTTCATGAAGATTGAAAGAAAAATGGTGGAGTTATTCAAAAAGGTATAGAGGAAAATCGTGTTTTGAGAAAACGACCGATAAAGAAAAATAAAATATTGACTTTATGAGGAAATGGTGGTGACAAACATGCGCTGTATGGGGAGCAATAAGGCTTTTATGTTTTATTATGAGATGGAATAGTTGTAAGAAAGGCTGAGGAAGCTAAAAATACCTACATCTCAAATTCCAAAATTTTGAGCCGAATCGGGACTTCGGGGGTATACCCCCCATCTGCCAAGAGGCTATACATGAAAAATGCCATGTGGAGACAAGTGAGTAGTGCCAGTATTAGAACGCTAAGTCAAACATTCGCGTGTCTCAGAAGCTGGAAAACGTTTAGTCTGAGCGGATTTTCTCCATCTAATTCCGTTTTGCTACATAATGAAGAATCTGTTTCTGGACTCTGAGTCTGAGATAAGATGAGTATTCCGTCTAGAGCCGCTTCCTCAACACCTAAGAATGTCGAAAAATAGAGTTGAAATCGACACCGTTTGGCTGTATTTTATTTTTTTTATTTTTTTTACAGTCTATGTAGAAAAACTAAGTGTGGGCGGACAGGGGTATCAGTTGGATTTAGTGGTACCCCCGTGGTTCTAAGAGAGAAGCTGAAGTTTTTCAGTTTAAAAAAGAAAAGTTTAATACGTCTGGACTCTAGATTTACAATGTCCCTCTAGAGTTATCTCCTTTTTATCCAAGTAGTGTAAATCTATGAACGTCCCCAAAGCTACTCCAAAAATACGCCTTGGCTCGTAGAGTGACCTGGGGTTGGATTGTCTGCGATAAAACAGCTCTATCGCTGTCAGCTGCTTGCCATCCAAGCGTCAAACCAGGATTAACTTTCTAATCATCATAAGTAAGTAAGTGAGTGAAAGAACAGATTTTATTATTTCTGAACATTGCAAGTTGAACGTTCAGTTTCTTTTTTCATTTTGCTTTGTTGTTGTTGTTGTCGTTGTTGTCGTCGTCGTTTGTTTGTTTGTTTGTTTGTTTGTTTGTTTGTTGTTGGGGGGTTGGGGGTACTTTTGTTTTGTTTCGTTTTTGTGATTTTGCATTGTTTTGTTTTTGTT